CAACTCGGAGAGCAGACTCTCCTTTAACTCCACTTTCCTCTCCTCGAACTCCCGTACGGCTGACCTCTTCTCCGATATGTACTCCCTTTCGATGCGTTCGTTCTGTCCGTTCAGTACAACACGGGTTAAGACATGAAGACATATCCGTTAAGACCACAAAGTCGTGTCACGAATGAGATAATCAACGCATACCTCGAAAGCGAGAAACACTTCGTCCAATAGTACCCTCTCTTCGTACAACTGTTCCAATCGTCTTATTTTGCGGACATATTCCGGATGAAGACCCGCTTCCAATTGGATCAGTTGGTCCTTAAGAGTGGCTAACTTATCCCTATATATCCTGCGATGGGAGGGGAATGGGAGGACAGGCGGTCACACCATTGCGCTACTCATGGCAAACATTATCATCACTTACTGCTCCTTAATCTCTGTGTACTCATTGTCCGTATTATCGTATTTGAGGACAACATCCGTCTCAGAGGCGTCTTCAGTGTCTGTCAAAGAGGTGTCAAAACATTGAGTAAACAGTGAATCAATTGATCCATTGCTGGCAGACCTTCATCCGAGTCACGGATCTCGTAGTCGTTATAATCAGCGCTGAGATCGTCGTCGCAGTCGAGTTCACTCATTGTCACCCAAATTGATCCCAAGAAGCGGCGAACGAGCGATGAGTGGATTATGACATCAAATGTTGCGTTCAATTGACAAACAATTTTCAAATCAAGTGTTTTGTCGCAAACCGTAACACAAAACACATTCACAGCAACCAATAGATGGCACTCATAGGCAGCACTCGTTTCGCACATTTTTGTCCCATTCATGCATAACGTCATTATTTTATGGCCGCCTTTGAGATCCCCGTCCATAGAAATGTGTGTTATTTTGAGCGCAAATTGTGTGACATATTTTGTGAATGACACGAAACGCATGAAAATAAATGTTTCAGAAAAACGTGTCTTTCGTTTTGAAATGTGTTTTGCATTCAATTCATTCGTTTAAGTAATTGCTTACCAATTGTTGACTCAATTATCACCGAAAATGTTGGTATTGTTTGAGTCGGCCGTCGGTTACGCCGTCTTTAAGGTGAGTACTGGTCACCGGATGCCACGTCTTGAGCTGTCCTATCAATGGTATGTCTCTATTCCTCTCAGATGTCGGACGAGTCGAAGCTCTCGAAAGTGGATAATCTGTACAAAGAAGGGAAAGAAGTTGAAGAAAATGCTTAAGAAAGTGGTGCTCAAAGATGGCAACGAGGAGTTGGCCGTCGCTGACGCCAAACTCGGGAACGCCATCAAAGACAAGCTGAACATCGGGTGCGTCACGAGTCAAGCCATTCAGGAGCTGATGAGTTGCATCCGCTCGCAGATCGAGAATCTGATCCCCGAGTGGGTGCCCGAAGACGAGGCCGCCATGCAGTTGGGCCTCTCTCACGGGTAGGTCACCACCACTTGACCAGTGGTTTGTGTGTTTGTCTGTGACATAGATTTTGCATCAAATGATGATTTCATTGGATATTATAGTTTTTGAATTAAATGATTCAATTGTATTGATTCGTCACTACCGCTGATGATTGCATTTCTATGATCGCTAACACTTACGACACGATTTTGTATATTAATTATCGGTTTCATTGTTTGATAGCATCGGGAGATATAAACTGAAGTTCAGTCCCGACAAAGTGGACACAATGATCATACAAGCCGTGTGTAAGTTGTGTGGACGTCACCTACTTTTATGACAGTATGTATTAAAGCGGACATTGATTTGTTTGCAGCCCTTTTGGACGACTTGGACAAAGAGCTCAACAATTACGTGATGAGGAGTAAGGAGTGGTACGGCTGGCACTTCCCAGAGCTCTCCAAAATAGTGACCGACAACTCGGCGTTCATCCGCACTGTTCTCACCATTGGTTTGTCGCAAATATATCTCGTTTTCATAGCCATTGTATTGACTGTATGTTTGATGGGTAAGGAATGCGAGCGAACGCCGCGACCACCGATTTGTCGGATATACTGCCCGAAGAGGTGGAGGCGAAGGTGAAAGAGATGGCAGAGGTGTCGATGGGAACGGAGATTGCCGACGAGGATATGCTAAACATTCACCACTTGTGCCAAAACGTATTGGATTTGCAAGAATACAGAACCCAATTGTTTGAGTACTTAAAGAACCGAATGCTTGCCATCGCTCCCAATCTGACGATACTTGTGGGCGAACTCGTGGGCGCGCGGCTCATATCGCACGCCGGATCGCTCCTGAATCTGGCCAAACACCCGGCCTCTACCGTACAGATATTGGGCGCCGAGAAGGCGCTGTTCCGCGCGCTGAAGACCAAACACGACACACCCAAGTATGGGCTCCTATATCACGCCCAACTCATCGATGGCACTTCCCAGAGCTCTCCAAAATAGTGACCGACAACTCGGCGTTCATCCGCACTGTTCTCACCATTGGTTTGTCGCAAATATATCTCGTTTTCATAGCCATTGTATTGACTGTATGTTTGATGGATAAGGAATGCGAGCGAACGCCGCGACCACCGATTTGTCGGATATACTGCCCGAAGAGGTGGAGGCGAAGGTGAAAGAGATGGCAGAGGTGTCGATGGGGACGGAGATCGCCGACGAGGATATGCTAAACATTCACCACTTGTGCCAAAACGTATTGGATCTGCAAGAATACAGAACCCAATTGTTTGAGTACTTAAAGAACCGAATGCTTGCCATCGCTCCCAATCTGACGATACTTGTGGGCGAACTCGTGGGCGCGCGACTCATATCGCACGCCGGATCGCTTGACTTAGACCGGTTTGTGGGCCGGAGATGGCATGTCTATAACCCGCGGCTCTTCCGCGACAAGGCGCGCGACTTCTGGTTTGTGCTGTGTGGGTTCATACCCGAGGATATAGTGCGGGTTGAGTAGCGTCAAAGTAATCCCAAAATTAAGGGAAAAATGTCGCGAATGTTGGCCGCGAAGGCGTCGCTCGCCACCCGAGTGGACGCGTTGGGCGAGGAGTCGGGCAATGAGTTGGGGATCGAACACAGGGCTAAACTCGAGGCGCGACTCAAGTTCCTGGAAGAGGGCGGCCTCCGAGCCATCAGTGGGTCCGGCAAACGGAGGGCTAAGATAGAGAAGTACGACAACAAATCACAGGTCCATACATACAAAGCCGCCTCCGATTCGACGTTCGCGCCACAAGTGAAGCGAAAGTTCGACGAACCGGACGAAGAGGAGGCGCAGGAGGAAGAGGTGGCCGAAGAGAAGACACCCAAAGACAAGAAGAAGAAAAAGAAGTTGAAGACAGAGGTGGAGGAGGAGGAGATGGAAGAGGAGGTCGAGAGTCCGCCCAAAAAAGTGAAGAAAGAAAAGAAGTCCAAATCGAGTGAAGAACCCGCAGAAGAAGCGGCTGAAGACGAGGCCGAAGAAGAGACCCCTAAGAGTAAGAAGAAGAAGAAGAAGAGAAATCAGGATTAGATATAATCTTAGTTTTAAAACCATTCAATCAATCAGACATTTACTCTATAATTATGTCATTAAATATCAAATATTTTATTTCGAATAATAAAATTAATTTTGTGTTACTTTTGATGTAATTAATTACTAAATTGTTTATATCACGTGTGGTATATGTATTGTATTATCAGTATATTGCGGTATATTATAACCGATAGTGACATCTTAGACAATTGAATATTGAGTAGTGTATGATGGGAATGTGCTAGGTTGTCACTGTCAGCACTACTCTCATGATATGATAAGGACTATTAAGTATATGGCATGTTAAGAAACGGCTGTTTAGTTACTAAATATCGTAAAGTTATTTATAGACGCTTTACACACCAAACATTCTGATGAGGCTTACGATAAATGAAGAGTTAATATTTTGCATGTCTTTGCCTATGAAATATCATATTGTATTTGATTCACAAGTCATTAGCTTACAGTATAGTAAGGCATTGCTATTGTGTAGAAAGCGGTGGCACTTATTCTAGCACTAGAATTATTAGGCTAAAGCAATGCCTTGAAACAAGCCTATGAAAACTACCCCCATTACCACACCTAGCTTATTAATCAATAGGTAAATATGAGCCACCATATAATTGGGGGTGGGGTGGGGGTAATTGTGTGATATTCAGAGGGTTAGTCGAGTTGCGGTCAAATTAATGATCGCATATATGATTCACATATATTTCATGTTGAATGCCATGAAATATATTCACTCTCTCGCAGCAAATGGGATCATAAATTGCTGTTTATATCACCACTGCTTTTGGACAGCAATTGTTAGATCATATCAACGAATGTCTACTTTAATGACACAAACATTATATAAAAATATTGCGGTTATATCTAGTAATAGATAAACAAAACAGATATACCATTCGTCTCATCCGTACATCCATTTGTTGTAAGCATTAAAGCTTTCAATAGAGGAATCGCTCTCAAAGGGAATGCAGTTTTGCATTGATTTGTACTTTGAGTGCAGAAATGCGTTCACAAATAGCACTGTCGGCCCATTGTAGTACTATACTATTCCTGATAATTCATATACCGTACAATTCTTTGCCGACAAATCAATGATTTATAGCATTTCAATAAATATCTGCGAAATGTGTGGTTTGTAAGACTACTCCGAATGCTATTTACTTAAGTTAATATTTTGCATGTCTTTACCTATGAAATATCATATTGTATTTGATTCTCAAGTCATTAGCTTACTGTACAGTAAGGCATTGCTATTGTGTAGAAAGCGGTGGCATTTATTCTAGCACTAGAATTATTAGGCTAAAGCAATGCCTTAGAACAAACCTATGAAAACTACCCCCATTACCACACCTAGCTTATTAATCAATAGGTAAATATGAGCCACCATATAATTGGGGGTGGGGTGGGGGTAATTGTGTGGTATTCAGAGGGTTAGTCGAGTTGCGGTCAAATTAATGATCGCATATATGATTCACATATATTTCATGTTGAATGCCATGAAATATATTCACTCTCTCACAGCAAATGGGATCATAAATTGCTGTTTATATCACCACTGCTTTTGGGCAGCAATTGTTAGATCATATCAACGAATGTCTACTTTAATGACACAAACATTATATAAAAATATTGCGGTTATATCTAGTAATAGATAAACAAAACAGATATACCATTCGTCTCATCCATACATCCATTTGTTGTAAGCATTAAAGCTTTCAATAGAGGAATCGCTCTCAAAGGGAATGCAGTTTTGCATTGATTTGTACTTTGAGTGCAGAAATGCGTTCACAAATAGCACTGTCGGCCCATTGTATTGTGCGCTCAAATAGAGGCTATTTTTGGTTATATTGGATACAAACGGTCAACTGGAGTCACTTTATGCAATACCATATACCCATAGTGTCCGCACTGTCATGGCTTTATACATCAATATATTGTGTGCTGGTACAAATGCACTGTAAAAGTGTCAGGCACAAGCTTTTCCAGTAGGAATTGTTGGCGATTAGTAAAAATTAAATGCATTATCTAATTACACTATTCAACATTTAATGCAATATTATAACTTATAATTTATAACTGATTGCTTGAATATTAGATTTCTATTAAAAGCGATACAAAAATATTCACAAAAATAAAAAGTGCGATAAAAACCTAAATGTGTTAATAAAGGTTAAGTTGAATGAAAAGCTCATTTTAAATCATTTGACTCTTAGGTATAAACATTTGGTCAAATAAATAGGACTCGCGATTCAGTGCCCGTTAATGAAGTGTTGGGAAAATGTGTGCAACAAAGGTATTGATTGCAAGCCGTCAACGTACAGCCTATTCATGGGAATGGGATTAACCCTTTAGTTACCATTAAATTAATGCCTTCGTATTCACAGTAAACGACTGAATGGCTGACAGAAAGACATTAATTTAATTTATATCTCTTTCTCACTCAATGCCTTTAATTTGGTATTTTCTAAAAGCTTATTCAAAATGCGCTCAAATGACAGTAAATAAATTGCAATTAGTTTTTGGAAACTTAATTTCATAGTATACTGTATACGGACTACTGTATAAGAGTTGTATGAGTCCGTGAGCTTTCATTTACATACCATTTGAATAGCATTTGGTTGGCATGTATTTGTTTAAGTGTTAGACAACTATTACCAGTGATATAATAGAAGATCTTAAAGCAAACGATTTAACATTTGATACGCTTATAGACGTAATCCTAATCACTGAACAGTTATGTGAGGACTGGTATACGTCTGGTAGCTGTCACTGTCAAGACATATACTATCTTAAGAGTTGAAGTGACAATGGCTGGAGAGGTGGGCCAGTCGTACAGGTTTACAGTTAAGGCCAAAAAGCAATGAAATGCACTGAAAAGGCGAGTCAAATAAAGTCTAAATTATGCGAAAGTTATTTGTAGTTTGAATTGATTAGTGGGAAGTGAGGACACGTTCCTCATTGTGTCCATGCAATAGTCAAGTATGCAATAGGTTTGGACAGCCATACCATACCAGACACCAGTGATGCCTTACAGCGCGAGACTGTGGTAATCAGATTTGGTGGGCATTGAGTTGGTTTGTGTCAACACCTGACTGTTGGTCGCAATCACTGTTCACTTCTTGTGCACAGAAAAAGTCGAGCGATTCCGCGGATCGTACGGATTGTGTGCTTATATTCCGTGCGATTCTATGGCTTTTCGTATACAATAAAAGAGAGTAAATGTCGAGTATATAGGGCTATGCGTTAAACCCCTTTTGATTGATAGACTCATCAAAAGCTTGTTGCCTTGTGTTGGCACAGTTAGCGAGTGTTCAACAGCACAGTGTTTGGCCGTATAGGCGCTATAATATATTACACACGACTCGATGGGTGGTTCGTTGGGCAGCGATTCACTCGAAAAGCTGCTGCAACTTAGCGAAAGATATTACTATTACATCAATTCAATACACATACAAAAAAAGGGAGGCCTGAGAGCACAGAGAGAGCACATACATTGACTGCCATTGTCTGTGGACTTAGGGCACGAGACTGAAAACCATAATAATATTGTAAAATTCATGAATTATATATCGCGGACACGGCTATTGTGTCCCAAACTCTCGAGTGTTACAACCATTGCTGCGATAAATTATGCGCTCAAATGTGTTGCACTTATTTAATAAATGTCTTATTTCTCGCTTTTATTGTCGAGTAATCCAATTATCGATTTATTTGGGAACTCCATTACCGCCTAAACGTATATTTATTACATAATTTGTATTTTTTGTTCATTAAATACGATAATTGGCGCAGGAACATTAACAAATTTTATGAATGCCTTGACTATAAATCTGATGCATATCTTGGATGTACCGAAAGATATCATCGAAAGGGACACAAAATGGTCTCATTTTCATAATTTCATTTCGTTTCAAACGATAAAACTTCACTCATATCTACAAAAATAGTCTAAATTTGTCATAATATCACTTCAATCACAATATATTCTCAACCATATAATACTTCTGGGAGTTTATATTTATTGCACTTTTCGCCGATTCAGCGAACATTATACAGATATTAAATTTTAAATAATGATTCAGTTTTATATTCACTTTTTTATCTCTCATTCACTAAATAATAAATACATTATGAATAAGAAATACAAGCTTGAAACAATATACAGTATTTTAAAGTTTTTTCGATAAAGCAATTCTTGAGTTATATATTCTGTGTATAGATTACATATTCTTATATATTGTATTAAGAATTACTCTTTTGAGAGACTTATTGTGATCAAAATTTTTTGTAATACTTTAAAAGTGATACAATACTGGGTGTTCTTGCTTCAAGAATTGATTTAATTTATTGATAACTCATTCCGACATTCAAAAGCAAATTTATATTAGTATATCATTTAATCTAAAATAATTTGAATATAATTCTATTCGTATGAATTTTTAATTGCATTTGTAATAACTTTGTAATAAACTTTTTATATTACACTAGTCGAAAAAATACAAAAACTATTCACTAGTGTACTAAAAATGGGATTAGAATCTGATGTCAAATAATAGGAATAAGTAAATGACTAGTTATTTGAAAAATGATTGTCTGGATGAAATGTAAAGACAATAAAGTAATATCAATTGTCAAACAAATGTATATTTTATTTGCAATAAACTAGAGATAAGTTATGTTTAATAATCAAAGGATTGCAATAAAAATATTGTCATCGATTTTGAATGACTTTCGCTGATACTTAAGCAATAAAAATGAATGGGTTTCATGGTGGGCACCGGCTGTATATGACAGTCCAGTCTGACATACCATGACTTGAGTGGTAATGCACTAAAGTTTGGTGACGAATGACTGTATGGCATGATTGGCACAAACGCTTGTTTTTATCGGCGACTCGTCTAACACTGAAACGACAAATATAATGTAATTATAAGTTATATTGTATTATATTATACGCCGACTATAATAATGCAATGAAGAGTACTGACGAGTAGTTTTTGTACACAATTGTTAAAACACACGAAAGAATGCACTTTATGTTTGTTGTCTTTGGTAGCAATTAAAGCGAATAATGCCTCAAATGATAGGCCGAGTGGTGAAGTGCCGGTGCTGTACAGCAATGACAATGTGTTGGATGTGCTAAGGGTTGTAAAAGCAGGAGAAGCGCTACACAGTCCAAGCATTTACATCCCAAGCATTTGTCATAAAATTCAAATCGTTGTCTTATATCTTATATCGTCTCTCTATTCTGCATATAATATAATACTCGATATATTAGCTGCAATATGCAGTACATCTAACGGCCCCCTCCCCTACGGTGCGCTTATTTAGCTATACCTTCGCTAGTCGTACACTAAAGTCAGCGCAAAGTCAGCACTAATTCATTTTATGATGCCGTCTGTGCCGACACAACTGACGAGTTCTTAAGTAGTGGGAGTCCAGACTCATGGGCGCATCCATCCCATGCACCCGACTCGCACACCACTCCACCATCACTGCCCATCACTATCCCTCTGCACCGGTATCATCATCAATATAACCCAATACTGCCCAATAAAACTCTATTGCGTTTACTGTATCACTAAATACGGTCAAGAATTTGAATGAAACAAAAACAAAACTTTAGCCATTGATTTGCTTTTTTTAATTAATCCTAACGAATCTAAAGGAAAGGTATGTAAGTATTGTAGGGACACTGTATAGCAAGGAATGGGAGATTAATGTTAAATAGAGAATAAGCATTATTACAGATCACTCATGACTAGCATTATTCTTGTATCGGTTCTCTATCTTTATTACAGGCAATAGAGCTCTCATAACACGAGAGCATTATTTGTATTGATGGCAAAGCAATACAATACACATCCAGTCCTCCGAAATCCAATGGTAGGAGCGTTGGGTGTGCTCTGGCTGTGGGGCTCACCATAGGATTGGTCGACGAAGCGAGTCCTGCGCCGTGTTTTTATAGCGGACTTGTGGCACACGTGTGCACAACATTAAGAACCCTTTTCATGGCACTTATCTGACTTACCATTTGCTCTACACCCGCAATTAAGGTCATATAATTGTTCAATCAGTAGTCACACCATTCAGACGCGAGCCACTCATCCACTCTCTTCATCCGTACGCCACAGCTCTCGCGGCCACACATCTCATGCAATCCTTCCGAGTTGTCGAGACCTACGCCATGAAGAAGTCCACCGATTCCGCCATTCTTCAGAATCAATGCAAACTCGCCGACGATATCACGCGACACCTCAACCATCACAACACCGGTGATAAACTCAAGAAATGTAAGAATTGTTTACTTATTTCTAATTTCGTATAAATGTTAGAATAGTTTTGAAAACTTTTTCAGTGACTCTCGCAGTCGTGGGAGTGATACGAAAATAAAGATTTATTTTTCTCTTTACTTTGATATTTATTTTTTGTTTGTATTCATTATATAATGCTATATAACTTAGTATAACTTTTATTCCTTATAAATAACTTTAATTATTATGATAGTTTGCATTCCCTTACTAAGTAGTCTTTTTACTACTTGTAATTTATACGAATAATTTATAAATTTAAGTAATTATGCAACTATAAGTTAGTAATTTAATTTACTGCTCATACAATGAATTAAATAATGTTTTAGCATATTGTATGTTTTATTATGAACGGAAAAGCAAAAAGTATCATAATTTACAATACAATTTGCAATTTAGTTTAATCTAATATACTAGTAAAATGTTATGCGTTTTATGTGAGCTATCGATAAATATTTAATGTTGAGTAAATTCTGTAATTTAAATCTCTCAGATATTGATTAAATACAATTTATACTGTTAAAAGTGTTTAGCGTAAGAATATTTTAGTGATCAATGAATTGATGGGAATTATAGTAAGAGTTTGGTGTAAATGCCAACAATGAGGGAAGGGGTGGTCTTTTGGCTCATTTGTCAAAATCAAAAATACAATGAAAACGAAGTATTAAATACATAATTAGTTTTGGATGAGTTTTAAGTCAATTAATATTAAGCGTAAAAGCAATCACTTATTCGTAAATCTTTTTGTTGTGAGTATTGATACGTAAGGTATAGCACAGGAAAGGCATAGATTTGTTTGATTTATCCAATTAGTAATGCAGTGAATGATACGAAATACAAGTCATTGAGAGATAGTTTCATCCAATTAGGCGCTCAAAGAGCTAAACATCTTTAAGGGTAAGTAATGTTTCTGAGAACATCTCAAAGGACACCACACCTGAGCGCTTGGGTGGTCGGTAGTGGTGGCACTGTATCACCACTATATGCCAGTGTATATGTCGTGCAGATCAGTGTATGTGTGCCTTATTGTTGCCAAAGAGTGTCCAACAGCTCCAGAATCAGAGTTAAGTTGTAGTCAATAGTGACGATACCAGAGCTCGGGGCGCTTTAGTTGTCTTTTTTTGTTGAAAAACATTCAAATAAATGGCATAAAGAGAGTGCTTTAGGAGTGAAGTCAAGTCATTACTTTTGAGTGTAAAGAATTGGCGGATATTTATCGCTTCAATGATGAGTTACGGAAACTCCACAAAACGCCACAAACGGCACACTTACCACTCGTGCCAACGGAATGCTAAACACCATTAGTAGTGAGACATTCATTTGCCAAAACACTTCACTCATACTACACTATATATTCGCAAATATTCACACATGAAATGCATTACTAAACACTTAAAACACGAACTTTCGATTTAGCGAACGGCGTCTTAAATGCTTTCAATTAGCCATTGAGTGCACGGAATAAGTCGAGAAGTTATGCAAAACTTTTAAGTCTAAGATAATTGCGCTAAACTTTTAGTGATTAAGTGTAACATATAGTCTTAGAGCATTCCTGTGTTAGTATTTAATAATTATATCTGATTTCTCCGCTCAATCTAACTGTAGCCGACTCTACAAATGGCATCAATAGTATAAATAGCATCCATCAGACAAATACCAGCGCTCAGGACTTGGCTGCGATTAGGCGATACAGGACTGCCTTCAGTAGAGACCAGTTGCAGCAGTTGGAGAAGGAGTTCGGCCGAGAAAACTATGTCTCCCGACCCCGACGGTGCGAATTGGCCGCCGCTCTCAACCTCCCAGAAAGCACTATAAAGGTTAGGCCAACACATCGCTCATTGTCTACTTTATTATCTACACCTATAAGACTACTCTAAATGCATACTTAATACAGTAGTCAATATTTAGGTCTACTGTAATTTAATGTTTATTCGTATAATGAAATAAAATTAAATGTAAATTAATGTATGGTTTGATGAATAGGTTTGGTTTCAAAACCGACGAATGAAGGACAAGAGGCAGCGAATGGCGCTGACCTGGCCCTACGCCGACCCCCACTTCGCCGCCTACATGTTCGCAGCGGCGGCCACAGCGGCGGCCTATGGTCACCAACCGGCCGGCTATTGGAATAGGAGTTCCACTCCTTACCAGAACTCTTCGTCGTATATGATGATGAGACCGCCGGCGCCCGCGGCTCCCGTAACGCAGCCGCCGTTCATCGCCTCACCCGTGGGTCTGATGTCAAGTCATCCGTCGCGGACAGTGGAGTCCATCTCGAGCACCAACTCGTGCTGTAACTCAAGTGTCTGTCGCGGATGTAATTCGCCTCCAAATGTCATCAACTCGTCGCTGACATCACTGACTCGGACGACACACTCGCCTGAAATGTCATTATCTAAGCCCCTGTTCCAGCCCTATAAGAATGATATACAAAAGTAAGCCGTTATTCAAGTCTAGTCTCTCTCTCTCTCCTATGTTTGGCTCCGTTTTCATTGATCTGTTCATTTCATCTATTATTTAGTATTTTATGTAATTATAGCTGAAAACTGTTGTCTTTGTAATAATTAACGAATACTTAGCTTTAAGTAAATATCAATTATAGCTATTATTCACTATTATTTACTCATTTCAACACTATTTGTCAAATTTAGCGTATATTACATAGCAATATATTGAATATATAAAGTTATTTCAAGTTTTATTACACAATTAGGATGTATTTGTTTTAAGTGTATATTGTATTTAAAGCTTAATGTCTTACATAATTATATACGCTTAGTATACAACTTATAAATAAATGTAAATTTATATTGTTTTATAAATTCAATAGAATTCAATCAAATTTCTCATATGTCTCCTAAATTTATTCAATTAAATAATTCTCAAATAAAACTGAAAATAATTTTATGTATTTTTATCATTTTATCATAAAATAGTTTGTTTCTACTTATAATTCATCTTATTTATTATGAATTCATTGGAAATTATTTATATAATTTGTAAATTATTAATTTAATAAATAAGAAATTTTGTTTTATTCAATTTGCAAACTCTGATTTAATATACAAAAATGGTTATGAAAATGATTACTAGAAAAATTCTTATGAGCAACATACTTCTCTATACTATTTTATAATATGGTTATCATATAATTCTTCAATACTTGTTTTATGGATTCAACACAATTTACTATAACTAAGAGTGCTGTATAACTTATATACAGAACAATAGGCATTAATAACATGCCATAAACATAGAATTGCTAATTAAAACACATTCAATTTAAACTCATAATTAATTAACGTTAGAACAAAGTTTAAACAGCATTTCATTTACACATTAATCATTATTTAAAATTGCTTATTATTTGATTGCAAATTAATACAACTTTTACATATATCTCGTATACCAAAGAATATCTCGTACTGTACATTCTGTATACAATGGCACAAAATGTAGATTAAAAGCGAATATTACAGTAATGTTTATAAATTGATAAAATTTTCCAACTAATATAATATTATATGAGAATACATGTAATTGAATAAACATGAGATTATTTAAAGCTATAATCTGCGCGAAAAAATATTCATTAAAACAAAATTGAAAGATTGTTATAGAAATACAGTAATAGTGTTATTGTTTGCGAGGATAGAGATGTGACTGAATGGAGAATTAGTGTACAAAACGCTGTGTATATTGTGATGTAAATAAGTGTCAACTATATTAAAATGGATTATAAATCGCTCTATCATTTCATTGTCAAACATATTGGTGATAGTGTCGCAGGTGTAGACACGGAGAGCATTATTTTGCCTTTTTTGCTGATCAATTGTACTCCAGAGGACGGCCTAACGCTTATAACTGGCATCTATTATACGCTTTTCCATACGTCTAAACCGTTTGCAGTCATCAATCCTTAATCACTTTTGTGAGCCAAATCCCATGCAATTTACGAGTCAACTCAATGCTCGTTACCGACAGTCGACACCAATTTTGTCTGTATATCAAACCATACCAGCGCTCTGTCGCACCTCTGCTTTCATTTATAAATCTTTCGTTGGATTAACACCAGAGATGTGCACTGTTTGACTGCTTTTGGCAGACCTGGTAGTGCTGGCCAGGGAGGGCATGGTATGTGTGATGTGTTTTTAGAAAATGATTGACTAAATGACAAATTATCTCTCATTTTATTAAGAGATTTCTTTCGGCGACTTCGAGCCAATAGTTAACAAACTTTATGCGAATCGATATACTATTGAAAGCTATGACAAGATTTCAAAGATGTTGTTAAAAGCATTAGAAAGCATAGGATATATGACTATAGAAGCTATGATTTGAGTGCATTCCGTGTATTATATTGTGCTTGTATATATTTATTGTGATTCTAATTATTTAAATGACTGTCTATTAGCGCTCAAATCAATCATTTATGGCTTAAATGTAATTAAATTTTAGACGATTTATGCGAAAGCCTTCGGAGAATGTCGGCGTTTGTCAAACAATCAAACATTTATAAAATAAAGGACTTCTTTACCATTAAAATGTCATTCACTGCCATAAAAGTAGGGTTTTATTGAACATATTGTTGACACATAATAGTGATGGTGTGGCCATCAGTTCAAAGATTGCGAGACAACTATAAGAGTTAACACAACGCTGTAGTTCCTCTCTTGTCTTATACACCAGTGCCCGCACCGGTAGACTGGATGCACCTCTTCATGAAAACACTCAATACCCGAAGTATGCGTCAAAACAGATCCCTATTCAAGACTTTTACATAATATGAGAAAAATATAATAAAAATATATTAAAGCCCTGAGATTTGCGAAATCAATTGAAATCCCTTTAAACTCAGAATTGATTGAACGTCTGATCCAATACTGTCGTGAATGTTGTGAATCTTAAGTAGATTTTAGTAGAAATAAGATTCAAATGTTATATAAGATTAGTAGTGTTGTGAACACATAAATTTATGTCAACCTGTATTCGCTGATTTACATAAACATGCTAGATTATCCTGTTTTCTACATCTTGTCAAATCAATAAATATCAATTTAAATTCAATTTTGTATCATTTCTAAGCTTGAATGAAATAAACAAAATTGTAATATGGTACTAGTATAATTACAACAATAAGAATACAATCTAAATGCTACATAAATTGTTTGTTTTAAATTAGATCATGAGAATTGAATGCCATATAAATAGCATTTATGAAGAATTTCATTGCTTACAATACAAAAAAATATTATTAAGTTTTACTTTAAGATCTTTATTAAGTTTTTTAGACAGTATAAGGAATGCTAAGGAAATGGTTTACATTTGCATAAAGATTTGTTTGCAGAATAAGTTTGAGATGCGCTGTAAATGCTATAAAATTTATAGCATACATGATAGCCTATAATACTGAAAATAAATAAAGGGAATAAATTGCTTGAATACTGTACTTCTACAGAATTATTAAGAATTTTAATAAAAATTTGTTATTTGCTATATTTCAAGAATGCTTAAAATATAATTTATGAGATAATTCCTAATTGAATCATCTTATAAAAAGCTATACTAGAAATAGGTTATGGAAAATGATAGTATTTATTTAATTTTATTTCTATCATTATTCTACTTTGTATTACAAGTAGACCATACATACTGTAGTAAGCAGTAACAAAAACAACACAATGTATTTTATTATATTAATTATTTAGTTAATCATAATATTTGTAATTTATTTTTATAAAATATATAATAATATTTGTGGTTGAGCTGTAACTTAGCAATGCATTCTGTAACAGAATTGACTTTCAAAAATTCCACTCATGTATAAATATTATCAGAACTGTACAGAATCATTCATAATAATATGTAGTCATTAATTTGCATTTGTATAAATATTAATATGATACACATATTATACCGTAAAATACATAAATCATAATTTCAAGCATATCATTTGCGCAATTACAGTATTAACTCCAATTTATAATTAAAATAAATGAACCAGTGAATGTAACAACAACACCATATTTAATAAATTTATTGCCAATTATTAATACAAAACAAATTTCATTTTAACATTATTATTTCAATAAAAAACCTCTCATCAAAAAATTGCAAAATTTTAAAATATATAAAAATTGTACAAAACCTCAACAAATCTCAAAAAATAAACAAAGTCTCGGAAATTAAGTCCTAGAGATAAGCACTTTGAATAACAATTGGAAAATAAATAAATTAAAGCAATGATAACAAGTAATGACAGAAAATTGAGTCCATGAGTTCACAAAAAATAGGTATTTAGAAAAATAAATAAATAATAAATTCATTATAAATACTGTCGATAAGAGCGTACAAAAAAACACTCTTTAATACTTAGCATTGATTTTTTGTGCCATACTTTCGGCGCAACTTTGCGAGTATAGTATTGTAGACCATATTATTCCTCTTAATGAACGGCAACCTCTTCTTCTCCTCCTTGGGGTCGATGTGTTTAATGCCCGGCGCGTGCACTAAGAAGGCGTTGTCCAAAATGGCCAAATCGTAGCTCTTCAGACACATCTCATACATCTGCCAACACATGGGAATCCAATTTAATCCAACAAAACAGTGACAACCCATTAGCCAAGCAATGAATACCTGAGACATTTTGTCTCTCTTGCCATCCCATGATAGCCTCTCATCATAGAGTGGCTCGTCGTTAGTGCCGATATATAGCGGTTCCCACGCATTGCGCGTCCGGAGCCGTCGCGTCACACGAAATACGTTTAACGAGTGGTTAACGGGAATGGAGTTAATCCACTAAAAACAAGTCAATTTGCTATTCAAACCAAGTTATCACTCAAAACAATGGATAAGTTTTACCAGATTTCTATCGGGAAAGTTCTGACACGAGTCACAGACCCACTTATGGAAGAATATGGCGCTCCCTTTGGGGTGACAGACAATTAACAATGCACTCAATGCTCAGTCAATCATCGCTTACCTGATTTCATAAGATCTCTGAGCTCTGACTTATTCATCGGCGGAGTGACACCGGCTTTGACTTCGAAGATTGGAATGACATAAACGTGAGGATTCTTTGCGGAGATTATGGGAACTAAACCCGACTTTTCTCGTTCTTGGAGTTGAAGGAAGGCGGAGACGATGCCAACCGACGGGTATAACTCGATGTCGGAGGCGAATATGTATTTGGTTTGAGCGTTAAGTCGGGCCACGTTTCGGACAACATTTATGGGATACGGAAGCGAGTGATCGCTTCTGAACGTAGTGTTGAACCTATCGGTCAACTCGGAGTAACTTTGAGTGCAATCAAAATCCATGTCTTCGACGTAACTGTCCGGATAGGAAGCGTTTGAGTGCGGGTTATGGAGAGTGTCGTACACCAAATGCCACGACGTCTTCGCCTTCACGCACGGGTCGCGACATTTGCGCAGATAATGGATTAGATTGACGACGAGAGGGAAGTCAAGGCCGGGCGCGTAGACGGCGACCGATATGTGTCCGTCCCATCGGAGGCACAGGTTCTCGATGTGGTAGAGGAATGAATGGGTGCCCTGAGTGGTCAGCGTCACCGACTCTAACGGCTGTGGCTTATCGTCGCCGGGAATGAAGTTCTTGAGAACGGTATACGAGCCGCGCGTTTCGGTCGACCACCAAATCGGCGCCCGAGTCCTCGCATTAAGTATTTTAGTCTTGTCTTCACTTATATTTGAACTCATGTTTGGCTTGTCTTCGCTTTTATCACTCGGTTTGTCTCTCGTGTCAAACAGTTGGCCATTAATGGGTGTCACCTCAGGGTTGGCCACATTCTGCGGCTCGAAGTCGGCCTAAGAGTGGATTCAATGGCGAGAGTGTTAGACACGAATCGGGAGGACCGGTTAATTGGCATACCTTTTGCAGGGAGTTGTGAGCATTGGTGGAGTGTTTGGATGTGTTGATGACAATGAGACACGGATTGGCTTTGGAGGACGTGTTGGACTGAAGTGTGATTATGTTATAAACGGCTAAAACTATATTAAAGGCGATCAACGACTTCAACAGTAGCCGCGAGTCGAGAATGTGTTGATGACAATGAGACACGGATTGGCTTTGGAGGACGTGTTGGACTGAAGTGTGATTATGTTATAAACGGCTAAAACTATATTAAAGGCGATCAACGACTTCAACAGTAGCCGCGAGTCGAGTCGCGTATTGGGTATAAGGCTGTGATAATGAATCCGCTTCTGTGACATTATTCCTCCGCAGCAGTCGTCGCTCCACTCGCCTCTCAAATCACAGACTAATTACCAGGATATGAATGAGTGGCAAATGAGATGATGTATCACATGAACCGATGCATTGGCTTTTGTGTATAGTGTTTGTCACAAAATGTTTATTATTTATGATTTAAATGATACAATAAATGAGATAAAAAGCATAATTTTAATGCAATTTTAATGTTTAAGTAGTGATTAGCCGTCACTTTCGCAGCGATCGTAACGAAATCAAGTCATTTGTATCGCATTGATGTCACCAAACATTTACCTGTGATTTGATAAAAGCTTTTATTGTGTTATAAATTACATACACTTTTCATAACCGAAAACTTTCACTCAATTTACACATAACTCTCGCTTACGAGTAGTGACTGGCGTTCAGGTGTCGGCTCACAGCCAGTCGTTTGACACTTGTATTTATATGACGTTACGCTACCATATGAGCCATAGGTTTGCGTTGAAAACTGCGTTGAATGGGCCAATGGGGGGCCAGTATTGTGCGATTATTGTCACGTTTTTGTGAACGCTTTCCCTTTAATATGCAAATGTTAAGGTTTTTAATTTACCGAAAACTTATGGTTTAATATCAAAAATGTATTATATTTGGCGATTAAAGTACACAAATTTCGTGAAACTTATAGCTAAACCCATTATAAATACACATTCATTGAGCGCACAATTATTGATTCATACAAAATATAGTCTAAATAATTGATTTTGCTATCATTCATTTAATATGCAAGTAAAAGTCTGACAGATTGCTATATAAATATATGAATTATTTCTAATGAGTTTATAACAGTGTAACTTTTTTATTGATTATATTCACGTTTGGTTTTTTGCCTACAATTTAATAAACATATTATATTAGGCATATGATTGCAATGAATGCTGATGTGTAGAAATAATTGAATATAATGTGAATATAATGGTCGTATGAATCGACTATTTATAGCCATTCCGTAACTTATGAGATCATAGAAGTTATCATTGAATGCAATGCATTGACAATAGGTGTTAGAACTACTGGAATAAAGTTATATTACTTATACAGCAACTGATAACTGCTTTGCTAATTGGTATGAATGGCTATTTTGCTAGATTTTCCGCTATAGTAATGTGCATTTAAAATGAGCATGGTGGTGATGATGTAGCATGTTAGAATAATTTCGAGAATATTTGACAAGGAATTAGAATTAGAATTTCGCTCATGTAGTGATAGGGTGTATGTACTGATAGAGTATATGGGGACAGGTGTGTGATCTGGTGGCGGTGTATACGAGTGTTGAGGTGAATGTGTTGTGGAGACAAAGCGAGCGCACAGTGAGTGAGACAGTGTTCACAGTGAGCAGTGACTGGCAGGCAGTGAGTGACTGAAGCACTGATCCATTGGACGCATACACTGTGTATCGCATAGTCTCTCGCATAGCCTTTCCATAGACTGAGGCATACATTGAGTGCTTGTATTGTATTTCACATTACATTGAGTGCTATATTGAAGCGATTGACTGATTGGTGAGTCGACCGCCGATTCAGACCAACTGAACCACACATTCATGAA